TATATATATATATATATATATATATATATATACAGTATATATTTTTATATTTATTATTATAGTTATTATTATTATTTTACTGTGTTTGAAACCGATAAACATTTATGCTGTTATGCTTTATTGCTTTAAATGCATGCTTTACTGAGACAGAGCATTGTGTCAACTTCCCATTGTGACAAATAGCCCCAGTCTCCCCAATAGAATTTATATTTAAATATATATAATTTTATTTTACATTTCTTGCTTATGTGAACGAGAAAACAGAGTTCTATTTTATATTTTTACAAAAAATGGGAACGTTTCTGAAAAACATTTTTTGATTGTTCTCTGAACATTCTGAAAGTAATGTGTAAAATTAATGTTATAAGAACTCCCAATGTTCCATAAATGGTGTATAACGTTTATGTGCTAACATTATGAGAATGTAATTAAAGCTCTGATAAATTTGAATGAACATTCTATTGTGGTTATAGTAGGAATATTTGTTCATAACTTTGAGAGAACCTTGCCAGAACATTTGCCAAAGTTCTGAGAATGTTCCCTGTTAGTTGGGAAAATAATGGTATCTGTGTAATGTGTGAGTATGAGCGGTCTAAACACTTCACAACCAGAGAAGCACAAATGTGAATCACTTCACTTGTGCACATTAATTGCTGATTTCTCTGGAAATTTGAGCAAATTTTGCCTTCAGTTGAGGTGTTGACTGATATTTTTTGTTACATGAGCAACTTCATCAGTAGTTGCTGCATTGACTAAGGCAGCTAAAAACAGGCACACCATCTCATGTTCACTTAAAAATAGCTGCCTCTCTCCATGACTTTGTCCAATTTGGCTGGGCATGGACGTTAAAAATGGTGCATGAGACATGGAAATTCTCGCTTGTGTCATCAGACACATTTCTTTAGGGATCTTGGTTCCCTGTTTTCCTCATTGGCAGCATTCCCACAAGTACAGAAACTCTTCCTCATCAACTATCAGTGGTTTGCTTTGCTTGCTCATGATCACATGCTCGCCACGGCATGTATTCAAACAAACATATAGACGGTTGCACAGATGGTTTGAGCTTTCCTTTCAGTGAGCAATAGCCTGTCACCTTTACCAGTGTGAGGGGATTTCCTAAATGGAGCTATTAGGCATTTTATTACTCCACCTAAATTAGAAATTGAACCCACATTATTTTCAAAACTAATGTGTGTTCTTTGTAGTGATGACTTAATTGGGCCTAATTTAATATATGCTGCTACATGTTTTGGCTTGTAATGTGAGAAGTAGGAGCTATGGGAGGCTCTTCACACCAAAAGAGACATACTGCCTTGTTAGAACATGAGATCCCGGGCTTGTTTTAGTGTTACTAATGTTTAAATCATAACATTAATAAGATGTGTGTTTGATGTCCAGGTTGTCGAAATTTTACTAATGTTTAAATCATGTGATCATATCAGTCATGTGTTTGGTGCTTTGTCCATTCACTTCCACCTCTACAGTGGCATGTTTAGTTTTCTTTCTGTATATAATAACACGTTATGACTCAGCAGGACCAGGACAGTGTCTTTGAGCCAAAATCATATTTAGACAGCCTCTGCAGGGAAATTACCTCACTTTCTTGTTCTGCGATTAGTCAAGTCTGGGTCAACTCAGCAAATTTATGAGCGTTTTCCCCTCCATTGACTGATTGTTCCTTGTCTGGTATATATATATATATATATATATATATATATATATATATTTAAACGTTCTAATGAAAATATGCATGTGGAAACTTATAAGTTTCTTATAAGTATAAACTTATAAACTTATAAAAAAAAGTAATGCATTGCTCAACTATTCATTCACAGTAGGGTGCGACGATTATAGATTTTTTTTGGTATTATTATAGTGTGAAGAATAATCACAGTTTCACAATTATCATGCATTTCGTTTCACAACACTACTAATGTATAAAATCACATGAACACTCTTTAGATTTTAAAGTGTTATTTATTGCTGCCTTTTGAAACAGAATTAACACAGTAACCAAATAATACAGCACAAAATAATAATAAAGGCAAACAAAAGTCCATCTCTCCCATTGGAATAAAAAAAAAACGTGACCTCTGGTCTGTAAACATCCATGTCAGTGTTTCCCTTTTGAAAATAACAAATGGAAATAGATCACAAAAGTATTTAGTGTTTTCAGTTTGTACATTCTTTCTATATATATTTTTTGACCTGAGGTAGAGAACTTGGAAACATGGTGAAAAAAAATCTTGTTGGTGTCAGAGTTGGGGATGAAGGGATGAGGCGAAGGATCAATCGCAGGAGGGATTAGAACTTTTATTAATAACAAAATAAAACAAACAGAAACAACCCTGTAGGGGAAACCGACTGGCAAGGCTGGACAAGGCAGGGCAGAACACAAGGCACACACAACATTCGACGACAAACTCGCACAGGACTGCAAACACAAGGAGAATAAATAGGGAACAAGCACATGGCCAGCAAAACAAATCACAAGCCATGTGCTTGAACAAAACAAGACACAAACACGCAGCTAATGAGAATACTCATAAGCCGCGTGTTCACACAAGACATGAAAACATGAAAGCACACAGCCAATGAAAAAACACAAGCTGCGTGCTACACAGCACAAAACATAACATGAAAGCACGGAGCCGAAAACACGAGCTGCGTGCAACAACACAAGACACGAGGACAGAAAAGCATACGGCCCGAGCAAACTCGAGACCGCACGCTCCCACAACAAAACAGAACATGGAGCATGAGTGTCCGAACCCAGACACCAAACCGAAATGAAACTACACCGAAGTGACAGAACCCTGACAGTTGGTTTTTGACATAAATAATACTATATAACAGGGATCATAAATAATAATGCTAATGAAGTATTATTTTCAATATGACTAATAGACTATTAACTTTATTTATTATTCCCACTTTATTAACTTTATTTATTTATTTATTCCCCATGGGAAACTGTTACTAATAAGGGGAATTAACTGAACTATCATTGTAATGTAATCAACAGTCATCCATACGTATTCATTGTAATAATCTTTTTAATAATTCATCTGATTTTACATGTGGCCTGAGAAAAACATGTCTGTTATTTTGGTTTGTGTGATCGGAGATCGTGCTGCGCGCACACAGAAACATTCAGTAGTAGGCTAAGCTACAGAAACTTGTTGTCAACGCTGCCCTGCGACTTTTATTAATAAAATAGCTTAGGGTGTACTCACACTAGGCGTTTTGAACCGCGCCCAAGCGTGTTATACCCCCTAAGCCCGGTTCGTTTGACTAGTGTGAGCGCTCCATGCCGCGCTCGAGTGCGGTTCATTTGGGCTTGGGCGCGGTACGCATGTAGTGTGAGCGCTAACCGCGCCGGAGCACGGAACAGATACTATTTTGTGCGCGCTACTGTCATCATTATAACCGCAAACATTGGCTATACTATTACTACTATTACACTACACTTTTCAATTAATTTAATTCAATCAAGTATATTTCCGTTTATAATGGGTCTGGTTCTCACCTTATTGATGAACTGGAATTGTAGTCTGCGATTTAAAGCTG